TCCTATCTCAGCAGACAATCATAAAACGGTTGCAAAACTGTTGAGTCTGCTGAACGCAGCCTATGATCCACACGAAGGCATTCATAATTTTTATTATTTTCTACTGTTAATGCTCTCCGCATATATTACAACGTGTATTTATTCATACTTCTGATTTATATTACTGACTTTATCTCTGTTTGTATTAGTTCATATTGCTTATAATTTATATTACCGATTATCATTCTTTTATAGTATTGACTTTTATATTACTGATTTTTGCTTATATTTTATATTATCGATTATCAGTTTCTGTATAACTGTGTATTTTTCATATATTTTATATTATCGATTTTATTTGTATGACTTATGTTTAACAGAAATCATGCATTACACAAAAGCGGATAAACACATTACCGATTTCACATCACCAATATGTTGGCAGAGATACTGTGAGATGAGAGGGAAGTTTCTGAAATATAATTTTTAATTTTATATTTTCTTTTTGTATTCAATTCTAACATTGAGAATGATCCAATGCGGATCGAAACGTTTGTTATTGCCGGCATTTAGATTAAAGTTATTGTATGTTTATTTCATTTTTATATTTTTTAATTTTGACCATGTGTATTAATCTTGGCTCGTAGCTCTATTATCCATTTATATTTAATTTATTGAGCCTTATTACCATTATACATTTTATTACATATTTTTTCAATTGCAACAGAATGAATTTATAATATTCTATGGATATATATACTGAAAATAAAGAATGGGCCCCTCCATTCTTGTGAGAACGCAACCATATTTTCTTTTTAGTTTTCCACATCACTCTAGACGTACTAATGTAGATGTGTTTTTTTTTAGTGGTTTCCCCAATAGGTCTAGTCTACTAAAAAAGATTCTCAAATATATTAGTAATAAAGCAAAGAAAAAATATTCAAAATTTTAGTAATAGGAATGTCAATAAATATTTTATTTGTGAATACAAAAATTATTATTAAAAACATTTTGTGAATATTTTGCAAAAGCTTTCTCCTTAACATATTTTTTTTCAATAATAGATTGCTTTAAGCAACACTGCTTTCGTTCACTTCGAGCATTTGTGTTGACTGTGTCTCCTAAAAGGAAAGCAGTCATAGTGCCTTTTGTAGTAATTTCTCTTATCAGGGTGTTCCCGGATTAAACCGCCAAACTTAAAATATGAATTCAGGATCCCAAAACAAACAAAAATTTTCCTCTGCATGTATGCTCGCAAACGCTTCGTTCAAGAGATATTTATACCTCTGAAGTTATACAGAACTGTTCTTAACCGGAGTTTTTAACGGAACAGGATTTAAACATCATTAAATTTTTTTGTATGGGGCACTCTGAACAAAAAATATATGCGGTTTCTGCGAATGACCTTCAATCATCAAAACGAATAATTGTGCAAGTGTGTGAAAAAATTACAAACACACAATGTCAGTCAGCCACTCGTTCTCTCATCGATAGATGTAATGTTGGTCTCCAAGCTAGAGATCATCATTTTGAATAAAACGTTTAATAATTAAATTTTGATATTGCAAAGCAATAAATAGGATAGACCGTATTTCGACATTATTCATTCTTACAGTTTTGTAACTCCAGAAATAAATATAGACCTTATTTCGACATTATTCATTCTTACAGTTCTGTAACTTCAGAAGTAAATATCTCTTGAACGAAGCGTTTGCGAGCATACATCCAGAGGAAAACTTTTTGTTTTGAGGTCCTGAATTCATATTTTAGATTTGGTGGTTTAACCTTTTGCAGACATGGTGTCTTTTGCAAACATGGTGTCTATGGCTGCGGTCCACTTAACGCTATATTATAATATAAATAATATTTTTTCTAGACATAATGTCTTTTGCAAACATGTCTTGTTTAAACATAGTATCTTTTGCGAACATGGTATCTTTTGTACAGGGTGTTGCACCAACATACAGGTCAGTATGACGGG